CTTGGCTTAAACAAGCTACTGTTATGTATGCTAAATATTCTTGGCAGAACTTAGCTACTGTTATGAGTCTTACTGTTCTTGTTAATTGTTTGAAAGACTAACAGAAGTAATGTTATCCTCATTTATATGCATCTTCCACCATAAAATGGATTCTATTTTAGTTTCAACCTTTTGTGATTCTCCATTTAGAGATGCCGGTTGCTGGCCAGAATGGTGGTCCTTCTGTTCGTCATTTTGGTCCAGGAAAAGCTTTGATAACTTGGTGGAGCTGAATTTTAAAAGTAATAGGCATACTGGTAGAGTTTGTGGCTTGGCAAATATTAATAGTAATACTCCATTCCTTTGAGAAGGAAAATCTGAATGAAAAGGAGGTGGCAGATTGTGTGTGTAAGTGTTCGATTCATGGCATGCGGCTGATGAGTATAACTGTATGTGTATAACTAGGACTTTATTTGTAAATTCTGTTGACTTATAAACACAAAGGGAACCCAAATCTTTGAATTTGCATGATTACAAATTTACAATTATTACTAAAAGGTGATGTGTGTTGATGGCAGCACACGTATTCAAAAAAGGCTGGAAAGAAGCCCTCGAAACAGGTCAAAAGAAGCAAACGATTGCTCTACTCCTTTCCGTTGCCAAGGTAAATTCGAATGACAAGGAGGTGCCAGAACGGCGGCGGCGGTGTATATAGGTTGGGCTTGGACACACTGCTTGAGTGCTTGATGCCATCGAGCCAGCTACAATGTGTATTGTGCGATCGATGATAAGACAGACCAATTCTGCTTAATTGAAGCAGCGATAGGTTGTAACATATTTCATAAGGGTAAATTAGACACTTGAAAAAATATTATTTATTAAAATTAATTAAATGGCTGTAAATAGCATTTTTGTGGCTGTATATAGAATTCCCCTTTATTAATTTAGTCTCTATGAGACAGAGTTATGATTTATACGAAGTAATTTATAATTTCGTCATCAACCTCTCTTTTAAATAATTAACGTGGATCATAGAGTACAGTTGATGGTAGGATTGAAGACTAAAAATAGAAAATGACATTTACACACTTTTTGTGCATGCGTACATTTTGTCATAGATAAATCATCTTTGTCGCAGACATTCATCTAAAAAATTATAAGTCGTCAGAAACTATATTAATTGATTGTGATTAATGTGATGCAAATAAATTGTACGAAACGTTAAAAAAACGTGTACACCAATAGATTGGTTTTAATGCGAGAAATACCAACAAGGAGTTTTACTATTGGAAAATAGTGCAACATATACTTCTGCCGAACCTATTTGCCATTGAGAGGGCAGATGGTATCAGACCGGCCTCACGAGAACCGCTGTCTTCCCGTTGGAATTTTTTGATGAATTTTTTTGAACATGTTTCTCATCAAGTCTAGTTTACCCATACCAAATTTCAGCTAAAAATTCAATCGGGAAGATAGTCAAACCAGTTCCATACGAAAACTGTGCTTTATATATATACTCCCTCCGTTTCTAAAAGAACCTCACACTTTCCTTTTTTGGATGTGCCAAAATAAAAGTCACACTTCCCTTATTTCCTTATTTGGCAAAGAAATCTACATCCAAACAGTGCCAAACAGTGTCCAAACAGTGCCAAACAGTGTCTAAACAGTGTTTTCTACAGTAAAGTCAATTTATTTCCTTAATAATCGTGAAGTCAAACCGTGACTTTCTTTTAGAAACGGAGGGAGTATATATTTAAACTGTGCAGTTTTAGTAGGGAAATTTTTTGACTGCCTTTCCGATTAAACTAGACTTGATGAGAAACATGCTCAAAAAATTTCATCAAAATATTCCACCAGGAAAGACCTTTGATGGCCTTGGCCGGACGGCGAATCCTGTCAAGTCGGCCTGACAGGATCACTACTCTTGCCATTGATTCCAGTGTATGAAATAAAGAATCAGCGTACTGTAGATGAATTGTTGTTGAAAATTACTGTAAATTATCAAAAATGTAAATTATTGGTTAGGAGTGGATTATTACTACTAAATATGTGATGTAAACACAATATTCTGAAGAAATAATAAATGATTATTTTTTCACATTTATATACTATTAATAAAACAAAAGCTCTATATCACCTTCATATTATATTTATATCGCTATGAATATTAATCTTTCCATCATTTGCAATGGAGTCAAAAATTCATTTTTTTTGGCTTGATAATGTGATGGAATAAAGCAAAATGACTCACTAAACTGTCTGCTCTTCTTTGTTATGAAGCAGTAGTCAATCCATGCAATTTTGGACGCGATTTTCACTATGGATCACTCTCTGTGCTTTAGTACAGGGGTAAGATTGCGTATATCTGACCTCCCCTACCACCGTAGGTGGGAGCCTTTGCGGCACTGAGGTAAATGAAAATGAAATGATTGCTATTAATATTAATACTGGATACTGATATTAATAGTCATATTTATAATCATATGTTCATATTCATAACTGACCAATTAGAAACTTAGTGCTCTGGGTCAAGGCTTGAAATTATACTATAAATTGGTCTGGAAATTATGTTTATATTTATATTTTCATTTATGTATTTATGTTTACATTTAATAAATACCATTTTAACATTTAGAAGCATGTGCAAGTGATCAAAAAACCATTTGTTTACATATGATTATACGAAATTGCTCAATTGAACTTTTTAAAAAGTGAAATGTCAATTGTGGTGTTCTGAAAAAAAAATAGTGGTTGAATACTAGAGATTTAATCTCCTCGAGAACCGCTGTCTTCCCGTTGGAATTTTTTGATGAATTTTTTTGAACATGTTTCTTTTATATATATATATATATATATATATATATATATATATATATATATATATATATATATATATATATATATATATTTAAACTGTGCAGTTTTAGTAGGGAAATTTTTTGACTGCCTTTCCGATTAAACTAGACTTGATGAGAAACATGCTCAAAAAATTTCATCAAAATATTCCACCAGGAAAGACCTTTGATGGCCTCGGCCGGACGGCGAATCCTGTCAAGTCGGCTTGACAGGATCACTACTCTTGCCATTGATTCCAGTGTATGAAATAAAGAATCAGCGTACAGTATGTAGATGAATTGTTGTTGAAAATTACTGTAAATTATCAAAAATGTAAATTATTGGTTAGGTGTGGATTATTACTACTAAATATGTGATGTAAACACAATATTCTGAAGAAATAATAAATGATTATTTTTTCACATTTATATACTTTTAATAAAACAAAAGCTCTATATCACCTTCATATTATATTTATATCGCTATGAATATTAATCTTTCCATCATTTGCAATGGAGTCAAAAATTCATTTTTTTTGGCTTGATAATGTGATGGAATAAAGCAAAATGACTCACTAAACTGTCTGCTCTTCTTTGTTATGAAGCAGTAGTCAATCCATGCAATTTTGGACGCGATTTTCACTATGGATCACTCTCTGTGCTTTAGTACAGGGGTAAGATTGCGTACATCCGACCTCCCCTACCACCGTAGGTGGGAGCCTTTGCGGCACTGAGTTAAATGAAAATGAAATGATTGCTATTAATATTAATACTGGATACTGATATTAATAGTCATATTTATAATCATATGTTCATATTCATGACTGACCAATTAGAAACTTAGTGCTCTGGGTCAAGGCTTGAAATTATACTATAAATTGGTCTGGAAATTATGTTTATATTTATATTTTCATTTATGTATTTATGTTTACATTTAATAAATACCATTTTAACATTTAGAAGCATGTGCAAGTGATCAAAAAACCATTTGTTTACATATGATTATACGAAATTGCTCAATTGAACTTTTTAAAAAGTGAAATGTCAATTGTGGTGTTCTGAAAAAAATAGTGGTTGAATACTAGAGATTTAATCTCCTAGACTTGATAAAATCGAGACCTCTCTCTAGGGCGGAATTTTTGCCGCTAGGGTTTTCTTCTCCGCTATCGATTCTTTCGAGGAGGGGCCGTCTTCCCTACACTAGTTAGGGTTTTTTGTTCCGAAGATCGATCTTCGTTCGTGCGGTATTGGTTTTTGTGAGCGAAGAAATACAAGACAAGTTTTCTTCTACACCTCGGACATGGATTTCAATGGCAAATCTCAAGGAGCAAATTGGCGAGCGCAGGAAGGATAGGGGTTCAGACGAATTTTCCGAGGGTTGAAATTCTCTTCTGCCATACTACAACAATTCGCCCTCCTCCGGAACCACCTCCGTGCGAAGAAGCAATTTGGGGAAAGTTTTTATTTTCGTATTATTTTTCCTTTCATAGTACTTATTTTTATTTCAATTTGAGGAGGTACAGTTGGAGTATTTTGATTTTTAAAGAACTTTTGATAGGCAGTACTTCATTTTCGATCATTTTAGGCTTCTTCTTACCCGTTTTGTGTCTTGCGAGTCAGGTTGCTTTGTGTGGGTGGCTGACTCTAAGTCTATTCCGAGGGCTTACGATTGGACTTATAATAGTTGTCTGGATTTTATCTTGCATGTTTGCTCTATATGAATGAAAAGCCGTTTTGATGATATAAAGAAAACATTTAGAAGCATCAATTTTTGATACGTTGGTCTTCTCCAACTTCTTAAAAATTACATCTAGGGAGCAATTAGAAATAGTTAGAAATACTTCTACAATTTTACGCAAATACTCAAACATTTGCTTCTGTTCATTTTAAGTACTCCATAGATCCCAACATGGGCGGAGCTAGGGGTGGGTCAACCTAGGCCATGGCCCACCCCAAAATTTTAAAATGACTTAATTTTTAAGCTAAAAAATTCCGTGTAATTTTTTTTTTTCAAAAAATATCCTTTGTACCGGTCCAGTCCGGCTCAGTGCTCTGGCTCCGCCCCTGGATCCAAACACTGGCTTATAACTTATTGGTAGGGGGAACTCCCTAATTAAAATTTAAGGATTTAAAATGTAATTAAACTAAGTTTAATACTACAAAAACAAAGATCCTGAAAGGAACAAATTGTTGTTTCTGCAGTCATGCATACTGAATTTAGAATAGGAGTGATAAAACGGGCTGCTCCTGTCTCTACATTTCATGTCTTCTAACTCTACAACCAATAAACAACACTTAAACCTGTATTGTATTGTTTGTATTTAGTCCAGTCTTGTATGATTGACTTACCTTGTGGGATTTATTAGGGTAGGACCTCTTACTAGCCCTCCCTATACATATACATTTGTATTTTGTAACACTATACAATTGTTCTTGAATCCAATTCTACATAACCTGTATAAAGCAACAATACATACTACAAATGAAGCACAAAACAACCTGACCACTTTTTAAAGTATGAAGTGAGTGAGCGAGTGATTTATCGGCATATAAGTGCCATCAGCTTGATCATACAAGCCAGGTGAAAAGGAATGGAAAATTTCAGAAATAGGAGTACAGATGTTTGAGAATTTCAAAATACGATTGCCATGTTTTATTCCCTAAATAGGAGTAATTACTGCCAAGCTTGAAAAATACTGCCATGTTTAAAATCTGGTAATGCCAAAACATGGCGGTAATTACTCTTATTTAGAGAATAAAAACATGATAATCCTATTTTGGAATATAGAAACGTTTTTAGTCCTATTTAGGGCAATTTTCCGAAAAAGAACACTCACTGTTACTATTTATAGTAGAGCTACTATTCCAATTAGCAGTCACGGAAATAGGGGAAACTGGCAATTTTAACCTCTGCAGCAAGACTACATCTTCCGGTTCATGTGAAGAAGGGACTTTTGTAATTCTTGATGTATTATTATTATTATTATTATTATTATTATTATTATTATTATTATTATTATTATTATTATTATTACTGGTCTCTAGTTCCAACTTATTTTTCAACTCAATACCTTGGATTTCCTTCAATGTTTCCAGAATATCATCCATGGTAGGCCGCATATCCTTCTCAGGTTGCAAACATCGAAAAGCAAGCTCGGCCACAGAAGTAGTCATCCTCAAAATTTCAGCATCTGTCTCAAACCTTAGAAATGGATCAATCAACTCATTAAACGCATGCCGGATTATCCTGTTCATGGCTAAGTTTGACAAGTTGATCTCATGCCTATGCCGACTTATATCCACAGCAGGCATCGATGATATGAGCTCAATAAGGACAACTCCGAAACTGTAAACATCACTTTTATCAGTGAGTTGGTAAAACTCATGGTACTCGGGGTCGACATACCCAGGTGTTCCTTGAGGTGCAGTGGAGACATGTGAAACATTGTTGGGACAATGTCTTGAAAGCCCAAAATCAGCAACTTTGACACAAAAGTTTTCATCGAGAAGAATGTTTGAAGTCTTCACATCTCGGTGTATTATGCCAGAAGCGTGGAGGTAAGCCAGTGCACCAGCTGCTTCCACCGCAATACTCATGCGGATGGGCCAGGTGAGTGATCCATCTTTTACTCTTTCTCCGTGGAGGTGATCAGCAACTGTTCCATTAGGGATGTATTCATAAACGAGGAGGAGTTCATGGCTGAGTCTTGATGTGCAGCCATAAAGGGTTACAAGATTAGGGTGTCTAAGGCAGGTCAGAATCTCAATCTCATTTCTGAACTGCTCCATTCTCTTGTTGTTGTGCTCATATAAACGCTTCACTGCGACTTCCCTTCCATCCCGAAGTTTGCCTAGTTATGTGGTACATACACACAAGAGTTCACTAAGTTAGTAGCAGAAGAAAACTGATTGAATTCAAGATTGAGGTGGGGTTTCTCAACTGGGTCCTAAGGCATTTGGGTTAAATCAAAATAAAAGATTGAATTCAATCTGCAAGCCAGTTTAATTAAAGGTTTAATTAACCTATCATTCTCTCTTTAATTTTCCAATATGAGATTCTGACACTTCCTTCGCATGGAAAACTAGACAAAGTGGGCCAGAACCTGCTCTAATACAATTATAGAATTCAGTTGGGATCACCCAAGTGATATGGCACTCCGGCCAAACCATACTAAAAATTGAAATGGAATATCTTAGCTAGTTCACCCATCATTCTATTTTTAACTTTCGGAGCAGAACTCTAACAAGAAAAAATTTTAGTGAGAGGATGTCTTACCATAATAAACAGTCCCAAACCCTCCATCTCCAAGTTCTTTGGAAGAATCAAAACTGTTTGTAGCTTCTTCAAGCTCAGAGTAAGAAAAGACATGAATCCCAAAGTATTTACTATCATGCTCAAGGTCTTGTTTCGAGGAGAGATCATCAGAGGTAGTGTTATCTGGAAAGTATTGGGAAGAACCCCAACAACAACCCTTCTTCTGACTCCGAAGAACGAACACCACCAAACTCAAAGTGAGGATCAATATAACAGCTCCTAAAACTGGATTCACACAAAAAAACATAAAAGATTCATTTTTTTTAAAATCATATCATACAAGTGGTGGCAGATATGCTTTACCAAAAAATAGACGATGCAAAAACTTCAACAACATATATATTAAACATGAAGTGGAATGGAAAGAAAAATTACATGTTACAGACATACCTGCAATTATAATAACCTTCGTTTTACTTTTTCCTGCAACCAAAGTGAACCAGGGAAGGTTAACTAAAATGTGTAGAATGAGTTAAACAAAACAAATGTCATCAACATATTTAAACAAAGTGAGACTACACAGAGAAAATATGCTCAGTTGTGAAACATACAAATTGGGTGAGAACTATATGGTGACAGTATAAACCGGATTCACACACAATATAAAAGTTCTGTTTGCTAAAAATCATATAAATGCTGGCAGATTTTCTTTACCGGCGAATAAACAATGCAAAATCTTCAACATCATCAATCAATCATGAAGCAGAAATGAAAAACGTTATAGGTGACAAATATGCCTGCTTTTATAGTAAAATTCATTTTACTTTTTTCTGCAACCAAAGCTGACCAGGGAAGGATTAAATAAAATTAAAAACACGAGCAAACAGAACAAATATCACCAACATATATAACAGAGTAAGACTAGACAAAGAAAATATATTCAGGTATTAAATATATATATGTGTGTGTGTGTGTGTGTGTGTGTGTGTGTGTGTGTGTGTGTGTGTGTGTGTGTGTGTGTATAGGGTCAGAACTCAGAACTATGCAGTGACAATATACACATCTGAATTTGGGAATAAGAAATTCATATGAATGTGTCAGTCAGCCAGTGTGTGATATGCCTAGGAATTGTCCTCTTTTATCATAATACTAAGAAAATATATTCTTCAGGCATGGCAGTTCCTTCCAAATTTAAGTGAAACTAAACAGTTGTCACATGGATAACCAGCTTTGTGTGACTTCTTAAATGGCCAGCAAGTCGAGTACAATTGCTCTTGTACAGAAGAAATATTTGACGCAAACAAGCAAATTTCAAGAGGACGAGAAATAAAAAAATGTACTATGTATATAGTAAGTTCCACAACTGTTCTTCTGCATGTTACTGATTGACACACTGAAACCTCCTATTTAACTGAACCAGAAAGAAAAAACACAACTTAAAAAATCCTACAGCTATGAATTACAGTACTTTGTTCTTCTTCCCTTGATGTATATATATATATGTGTGTGTGTGTGTGTGTGTGTCTATTTATTTAATTATTTGTGAATATTATCATGATACATTGAATAACACTCATCTGGTAAACTGGTCACTCTCTTTAGAAAGATCCTTAAAGCCTAGGTAGCCACACATGTTTTGTAACTAGGTTATATAGAAGTGGTAAGAGATAGACTTGCAGGCTTCATACATTTCTTGGGACTGCAGGAACTCAGGATGAATTTCATGGGCTAAACATTGTTAGCAAACAAATAAGGCCTTATTTATGAACATGATGAGAGAAACCGATGTTTTGAGTTTGTTTCTAGGCGTAGTCATCACGCTTGAGTTAAGTGAAATCCTAAATAATGAAAACCATTCTTTTATTGCATATATCAAGCATGAATCTGGATAAACCAAATCAGTTGTTTTACTCCAGAATGAAGGCTATAATTAATCCTTTTAGAGAGTGCCACTCACAAAGAACTCACTAAAGAAAAAGTATCCTTTAAGGATAAACACCCATCAAATGAGAAATTGTAAGGACATTGACCGAAAGCATCTAAAGTAAATTGGGTTCATTATCTCAGGTTGAAGAAGTTGAAAGGTTTTATTAGGATTAGTTTGGACGTCCACAAACTTTTTTCTTCAATTGAGAATGATTGTTTTGCATAATATAGAGAGAAAGATCAAGTGAACAGTTTCAAACTTTCACCATCAAATGCTTAAACTGCCTGTTTTAACATGTGGCAAATCTATGTATGCTAAGTTATCTACAGTCTCCAGCTGCCTAAGAATGTGAAGCGATTGATACTCACTAGTAAGGCTTGGTGTAGTACGGACAAAAGTGACCCAGGAAACTCATCATACAATAAGTAATCTAAAAGTGGAATTTTCCTTTAAAAGATGGATTCTAATTTGTTTAGAAGCCTCATGCTTGACTGAACTGTTCCCTACTTCCCTCCTCCCTTTTTGAAAAAAAATCAACACAACAAATTGTCCAATGCAGTGATGTTCTAAACAGCTAAACCTCACAAGCAACCTCAAAGATTTGGTTACTCAAGAGACTTTTTACTACAAAATGCTATACAAAGATATAGTAATAGAATAATAGACTAATAGGTATGTTTCCCAAAAACAGGTATGCAGATAAGTGTTAACCAGTGAACATAACATTATTTTTTTTCAAGGAATTTTATCAATCCAAGACCTGAAAGATAGATGAATTATCAATCCTAGTGCTGAAAGATGAAATGTATCGGTAATTGCTAATTTTTGATGATTTTTTCTTCACGAAAGTTTATTAGTTTAATAAAATAAAATAATATTTTAAATTTTTAAAATAGAAAATAATGAAATTCATGACAACTTAGGTCCTAAATTGATAGTTTTCAATCATTTGGCCCCTATAATGACACATTTCATCTTTCAGGTGCCGAATTGATAACACATCTATCTTTCAGGTCCTGGATTGATAAAATTCCTTTTTTTAACTTTAAGATTCATGTGCGAATATCGGGTAAACAGTGACAGAAAGCATCATTGGCTAATAGTCTTGTGCTTTAGAATTCAATTAGCTTCAGTGCATGGGTGTCAGAAGGACTTATATCGGCATCATATCCAATTCATTCCTAATGCTTGCAGTCTTGCACATCAATTAATTTATATAAGTTTCTCTTTCTGGGCACACTTATAGCTCTAATATGAGGATTATGAGCTCTTACTAAATGAAAAATTGCATTTGTAGACGAATTCCATAATTCAAGATGTCGTCTCCACTTATTCCTAAATGGAACCACTCACATTCAGTACAATCTGGTTCATCATACACTATCAGATCATGGAGGTTCATATGCATTAACAATTTAACACTTTCTAGGTTCACCGGTTACATCCCTGTTATCTCTCCTAGAGATACTGACATTTTGCGGACTTCTTAAAAAAAGGCTAATATTACTAGTCAAATAGAGTCATCAACTTTCAGTTAGACCGTTAGACCATTACTATCAGCAGCATGGCATAGGCATGTCCATTTTTACTACATTCGAATAGAACCGTCTCACAAGACGTAATCATCACATATTCCTTTTAGACTGAGAATACAAATCCTCACAAAAAGCCCTAATCATCACATAGCTATCTGCATACTTGAACTGAAATTTCTAGTATTTCTAAATTCCAAAGATGGAAACTGCCTTATTGAAACGTGTCATAAATATTGTCTAGGATGGAAACTGTCTTATTGAACCTCTTAAGAGGCTCTAACTGAAATTTCTAGTATTTCTAAATTCCAAAGATGGAAACTGCCTTATTGAAACGTGTCATAAATATTGTCTATGCAGATACAAACAGAGAGCAAAAGGGGAAGGAATGCTTACCCATTTGAGGTTTGCAAGTACTGGAATGAGGTCTATCGGGACAGAAACACTTAAACATCTGAGTGGTAGAATTAAACCCACACCGCCCTCCACTTCCTTTACATTCACTGCAACTGCTTACTCTCCACTGCAACTCAAATCCCCTTCTCAATAACTTATCATATTTGACCACATCATTGCTTCTCTCATCTTCCCATCTCTCTACTGGTGCCACCACATTCTCTGTGCAGTGCTCCAAAGCAGAGCTCAAGTTCTTGTTATCATGAAACATTACCAAGCTCGATGTGTTTCCTTTCCCTCCTTCATCACAGCCAACCGGCTCGTACCTCTTAAGAGGCTCTAACAATGGTCTACTGCAATTCGAGAATAAATTGATTGCTCGTGAAGGATTACTCAGGCTCAACTCTGCAAAAATTTCATTTCCAGTTGTAGTCCAATTCCTAATATCGGGATGACAGCTTGCCCCGAACCCTTGATTAGCAGCAGCATTATAAACACGAAAGGTATTGTTTTCGTACGAAATGTTTTGAACAACATACTCATTTTCAGATAAGAGGAGAATTGGATACCCCTGGCCATTACAACTGATATTGAAGTCAGGGACACCACAATAGGGCTCCTGCTGGCCTTGAAGGTAAAAGGGGTAGCTTATGCTTTGACCATGTGGGCATCTTTTTGGCTCGCATGCTACAAACTGCAAATCTACAGCAAAAGACTTTTCTAGCAGAAGGACAAAGCTAAATATAGAAAGCTTTAATGATACGAATACGCAGATGCGTATGTTCTTTACGTTCATTTTGTGAAATTGAACAGCTTAAAGCAGCCAGAGTATATCTGAAAACACGAGAAAAATAAGAAGATGGTAGGTAGATAAGACATACTAGAAGAAGTGGTGGAGGTCGAGTTCTATGGTGGATTGACTTAGTCAATGATTCCTGCGCGCAATTGGCCGGCTCCGCCAAAAGGAGCTGACCAATCTCCTTCCTATATTGGGCAGCAAATCATATATGAGCAAGCGAAACCCCACCCAGAACTGGGCAGCTTCACAGTTAGTCAACGTAAACTCACAAAAAAAAAATGCTCAAAATGTAATCCGGTAATGGGAAGTGTCTATTCATGGTAAAGAATGTTCCCCATCGAATGGGGATAATAGGGATTTACAATTGATGTGTCTAAGATGTTCATCAACTTAGTTTATACATTATCCCCACATATATTCTAGGGAAAAGGGGCGAATCCCCCTAAAGTTACACCTAAAGGGTATCCAAGTCCCTAAACAAATTTTTGGAGCAAAAAGCTATTGTTTCCCATAAAAGAGGGCATATCCCCCTCACTCATGTTAAACACACGGAGTAGTTAACAATTAATAGTATGGGTTGAATTTCCTCTATCTAAATCTCATTCAAATCTATTTTTTTGTGAGCAAATATTGTAAATAAACATGTGGCACATTAACTAACTAAATGTTTTAATTGGTTTAATTATAGAGTTAACATGTTTTAACTGGATTGAATTTTTTTGATCTGATGTAATTTGGTCTAATCAATTTTTGTCCGATCTGGTCTGATCTGTTATAAAAAATTTTACTTAGACTTATTTCAATCTTGGACAAAATCAGACCTGAACAAATCTGAATAGACATAAAATAGATTAGACCTCGAAAAAATATAAAATACTCAGAAACCTGAAATCTACAGAACAAGACAAAATCAGACCAATTCAAACCAGGCCAAATCACAAAGCACATCCAAGCTCATATGTCTTCTTTGTGAACAAATGTCTTAAATAAACATGTGGCAAATTAACTAGCTGATGTGTCAATTGGACTGAACTTTTTTTTATCTAATCTAGTTGATCTGATCTATTTTAGTCTCGAGCTGGTCTGGTCAAAAAATTTATTTTATACGGAGTACGTAGTATTACTAATATCGTTGTCTCCCTTAAAAGTTCATGTCCACTATTATTTGGTCAATGTAAACTAATTTAAAATCTTTTACTTTATATATTCAACTTTTATCAAATTTAATTTTTTTATTAACTTTATAAAACTTTTAATGTAGCTTCTAATATCTATATCTTCATATTATCTTCATAATCTATTTATAATTATTTTTAATTATTTATTATTAAGAATAATAAAATTCCTTCAAAAATATTGTACACTATATTTTCTCGATTTTTGCCGTGTATCTTCTATAAGTTAAAGGGCAAAAATATTATGGCATGATAAAGAAGATAAAATAGTTTTTGCATACTTTTAATCTTTGTAATATACACATTAAAAATGTGTGATAAGTCGAGAATATACATTGTACAATAATTTGGGAGGAATTTTATTATTTTTAATAATAAATGAATGCAAATAAATTATATGCGGATTATAATATACAGAGTATATATAATATTAATGACATTTCATAGCAGACAAGATGAAGGTTTTTTCGATTAAAATTTTATGATCTGGTCGAATCTGATTTGGTTTGGTCTGAATTGGTCTAATTTTGTCTTGTTCGGTAGATTTCTGATTTTTTGAGTATTTTATAATTTTTCGAGGTGTAGTCTATTTTATTTCTAATCATATTTGTTCAAGTGTGATTTTGTCTAAGACTGAAATAAGTCTAAGTAAAAACTTTTAAAAAAGATCAGACAAAAATTGATTAGACCAAATTACATCAGATAAAAATAAATCAATCCAATTAAAACATGTTAACTCTATAATTCGAGATTTAGTTAGTTAATTTGCCACATGTTTATTTAAAATATTTGCTCACAAAAAAATAGATTTGGATGGGATTTAGGTAGAGGAAATTCAACCCAGGTTGTTAATTGTTAACTGCTCCGTGTGTTTAACCTGAGTGAGGGGGGATATGCCCTCTTGTACTTGGAAACGGTAGCTTTTTGCTCCAAAAATTTGTTTAGGGGCTTGGATACCCTTTAGGTAAAACTAGGGGGGATTTGCCCCCCTTTTCCCTATATTCTATCTATAATGAGAGCACACTAAATGTAAATTCCTTCAAATACCCCCTTTTAACATTTCTTTTAACACTACATGTAATTTCCACACACATTATAGTGTAGATATCCGTCATACTTTGTATTGTTTTGTAAGAGTTTCATCAAATACCAAAAATCGTGTAAGAAAAATAACTTTGATAGTAAGGAAAAGATATAACAATATGAAAGTTGTGTTAGACTTTGTTCATGGAGTCTTTCTCCATTTGGTCCTTACCTCGAACAATAAGTATCCTTACCTCATTAAAAATCTTACCAAGTAACAAAGCCCACTAGGACAAATAACACTGGTTTAAAGAAAAGATTATAACGCAATGGTGGGTAGGTGAATGAGTCTCCATCATGTCTACACCTTCTCCTGATATACACATTAATCAGGGCAGTTCGGAAAGCTTTCGCAGTCCTATGTTATTTACGTGTTTTTCAAAAGTGGCCTTGGTCCTTGGATAATGGCTTGGCAAACAATTCAGTCTGCTACATTTTCTTCAGAGCTTATTTGATTCACTTGAACCTTGAGCAAGGCTTGTTGTTGCTGATTGCAAAAGAACTTAGGAGATATGTGTTTTGTTTTATTACCATTAGGGGTGGGAATAGACAAGGCGCCCTATCAGAGGCTTGTTGCCTGATTTGTTTAAGACTTGGGTTGGCATGTTCAATAATCAAACTAGTCTTGGACTTTTCGGAAAGCTCGTTTATCTAAATAGGATAGGCTTAACCCAACTCTGAAGTTTTTTTAGCTTAACGAACCAACCTATTTATATGTGTATATATATATGTTTTTATATATATTTAGTTATATTTATATTTATTTGTATTACTAGCATTCGCTCGCGCAAGGTGCGGGAGTTTTTGCCCAATGTTAAAGTCATGCTCTTTTTATGAGACTATTATATGAGATTGATATGAGGATTTATAATCAATGTATAAAAATATCTTAAACTATTGATGAATTATTTGATTAATTATATTCTCAATTCCCCAACTGTTGGGTGGAAATATTGCTATTGTTTTTTAAAGCTATGTGATTTAAAGAAGTGGCTATATTTTTTGGTTTAATTGTGAAATGACTGTAGACTTGTAGTGACAATAGGAGTGAGAACAATGTTATTGAACACGCTCAATTACGTGAATATTGAGCTAGTGTATACAAATGTTGATGTTCAACGAGTTTAGATATATAAAACTTTTCGAATTGTGGTGCTCTACATGTAAGGAGATATCTTGTCTAGCTAGGAATGATCTATATCTTGTGGCGTTATATGCATACATTTTCTTGAGTAGTTTATTTCATGTGCTCTCAAAGATGTTTCTATTCGGTGTCCTATTTAAAACAAATATTACAGGTCAAATATGCAATCATACAATGAAGTTGTTGTTGTTATTATTATTATTATTATTATTATTATTATTATTATTATTATTATTATTATTATTATTATTATTATTATTATTATTTCACATTGGCTCTTCTCTTGATTTGGAAGGTTAAAAATGTAGGCTCCTATCCCAATTTATAGTACCCTACGTTGAGAATATTTATATCCAAGGCGCAGACTAATTATGTAGTGTACTCCACACACTCTAGAATTCTTAACACACATCCACTCTCTTCCATAAGGTTTTAGAAGGTTTCACACATATCCATAATGTTCCATAGGGTTCTGAACAATTCCACAAGCTTCTAGACAATTTTAATGTTTTATATATCTATCAAGATCTCTCTTTAATATTCTAGTAAATTCTACACTTTTCAATAAAGTTATAGATTTTTTTTAAATACTCTCTAATTAAAGAGAGATGGATCCCATTATTAGAGAATGTCTATATATGATAGGAAAAATTGACAAGAATAATCTCATCTTGCACTGGTCTTCTCATAATAATCTCATCTTTACATAATCCCAGAATAATTTCACCTTTGCTCCTCATCTTCTTTCATTGGACTTTGACTTGTTGATGACCTACTATACCAGGTTTTTACCCTTTCTTTGAAAACCTTATATAAATAATCTCACCTTTATAAAGATATAATAAAAAATTAAGGTGAGATTATTTATATGATTTTCAAATAAAGGGTAAAAACCTGGTATAGTAGGTCATCGACAGGTTATCATTTGTTTCTTGATTAATTATTTTTCAATTTAAGTATTTTTTGTTCAATTTAATTTAGATTGCCTTTTCTTGTTTTGTAGAGTTTAAGTGACATCTCACGTCTAGAGTCATTTTGGCGATATCATTTTTCGTCTTTTAAAATATTAGTTTTTTTTATTAAAATATCAATGACACATTTAATAAAGTGGTTACCCACGGTTTTACCCGTTGCCTTTTAGGGCGGTTTGAATAAAAATTACCCGTTGGGTAATGGGACGGTACGGGGTGGGGACGTTACCCAATGGGGCAGGTACGGTTATATGCATAACCGTTCCCGATACACCCCGTTGTCATCTCTACATATAGTGTACATTTATATTATAGCTTTACTTCTAAAATTAAAAAAGTTCAAATTTAACTTTTAGACAAGGTCCAAAACTCTCAGAAATTGTACCCAACATCAAAGTTGTTCAAAAAACATGATCTCCTACTTATATAAAGAGTCACTTGGATGGCATTACAACTTTTCCGCCTTTTTTCGTTAAAGTAGGTTCCGTCTCCTCTGTTTCTTACGTCCGTCTTTTCACTTACCTGTCTTGAAATCAAACTTCGTTCCACTAACTTGACCTCCCCCATTTTCGAACTACTGTTCTCACCTCAACCTCTCCGTGTTTCACCTTCTTCCTGGGCTCTTGCTGGCGGTTTTCGTTTATCATTAGACTCACGATGTTCGCCGCACCCCTATGTACGGATTACCCATATTTGTCTTCTCTCTTCTCTACACTCAAGGTCTTTTGCTCATTAATTTTGTTGTGAAATTTTCAAAGACTTGCTATAATTGGCTGAGACTTTTGAATTACTTTTCTCTTATCTTATATTTTCCCCTCTTATCTTAGTCCACTGCTACTACTCCCTTCTCCCCTTTTTTTATTCTTCCAATTTCGATATATGTTGTGGAAATATATTCCACACCCGTGGCTTACTATTTGGTGTGGCAGTTGAGATTGATATTCTGTGTGTGTGTGTTAAATTTAGGATGGCTTGCCTAAAAGACCTTTAATCTTCACCATGGACAGAAATTGAAATATACTATGTAATAAAATGGGCCAACTTGAGGCTTCAAGTAGGACATTCTTCACTCGCTCATCCTATATGTTCGTAGGTAG